TTCGGCGACACGACAGGCTAATCTAATTCGAGTTTCTCAACCCTCGATTGAGTGAAAGAAGAAGACTTGATATGAAGTAGAACCTTTATTCTACAAGTTATATTGGTCAATTCCTATTGGTTGATCTAACTATCAATGTCACTGACTTCAAAGTTGTTTCCTATTCGACCCAGCTGTATAAATACGCGTTATCTGTAACGTTTTATGAATTGGACCCAGACTTGGATCCGAATCCTTAGTTTGGAATCCTTATCTTCTTCTGAATTCGGACCTCGTACTTTTTGTATGCTTGTAGAATACAGGTTTTACTTCATATCAGGTCTTCTATTATTCGGATTAGAGTAAACTGTCGTATCCTCCTATCGCCGGATCCTTGATCCTCGCTCTCGTTTTCCAACTGAAGTAAACTCGTCGTGTAGTGAAATAGAACACAGGTGAGGGCAGCCGAATTGTATTTAACGAAAATTACAGAGTTACTCAATAAAATAGGAAAACCATATCGTAAAAACGGTTAATTTGCAAATCTTCAATCCATCATCAATCCATTGTCTGACATTTCACTATTCATGCGTTTCATACAAATTCCATATTGTGTTCCCACTATTCCTTTCTTGATCTTCTTCCCCCATCTTCTGCTGCCAGACATTACGTTTACACTCACGTCATATACTACTTATAAGTAGCGCGCACCACAGTAGTAGTTCAAGCCTATCAACTTAAGATGTTTAAGTGCATACGTAACAAGTATGTATGAGATAATTGTTGTGTTTAACTCATAATTAACCAATGTATTTTGATTGGATAATTTTGTTGTTTGATTAAATTTCCTTGAAAAACCGGTGGAATCAGATAACCAAGCAAAAACGTTGAAGATCAGCCATTGAGATTTTGATATATATAATTTTTTATTTCAAAAAATTCTGTAATTTTCTTTCATCAATCGTTAAACTTCCAAATACTTGAAGCCTTATGAATTGTTGATAAACGGAGTCAACAAAGTATAATTTCAATATTTAAAACCATCAATCAATCATTGTTAGACCACCATTAGAAATCTGGAAGCACTGGACGGTTTGGTACGGGACTCATCAGCAGTGCGCATCCACGCCTGCTGCACCTCGCAGGATTCGAACCTGGGACCTTCGGTATTGTGCGTGAACGCCTAACCATCGGATCACTGGGCCGTCATCCAACAGTGTTAATGTCTAACTCTGATTGATCTAGGGATTTTGAGCGACCTCACCCATTTGTGTTTGATAGTTACTGCCTACACCCGACAGGGTTGAACTCCATTGGTCACGTCTTCTCAACTAGAACTCCGAGGATTCCCTCACGAAGACTGTTAATGATGGTCTAACAATGATTGATTGATGATTTCAAATGTGTAAAAACACAAACCTCCAAAACTCTGCCCGAAAATAATTCAATTTTCAACTGTATTATAGTGATTCAGAAGAATTCGATTCCATTTTCTAAAACGAACAGTTTATTATAAAAGATCGGCAAAGCAAGCCGCATAAATTGAAGAATTTCTTCAAATTAAATCAAATATCAAGCAAGCAACACCAAAAACACAATTTTCAATACAAATATTAAGACAGTTCTACTGGATGAGGGCAAAATTGGAAAGCCATCATCCGAAGATACGAGGGTTTATTAACAGTTTTCTACGCAAGATACTTCAGATCCGTTGGCAAGACAGTATCAGCAACAACCTATTTTGTGGAAGAACAAACTCGAATCCAACGGAGAAAGAGCTTAGGAACTAATACTGGAGGTGGATCGGACATTCATACAAGAAATCACCTAACTGCGTGACCAAACAAGCCATCACCTTGAATTCTCAAGGCCAAAAGGAAAGAGGAATGCCAAACAACACATGAGAAATGGAGACAGACATGAGAAGAACAAGCAAAAGTTGGACAGAACTAGAAAGGAAGTCCCAGGTCAGAGTAGGTTTGTGAATGCTGGTCGGCGGCCTATGCTTCATGTGACTGGGGGTAACAGGCGAAGATAAGTCCTTAAGTTTGCAGTGCTTCCACATATATTCGGGTTCGCTTACATTTAATTTGGTTAAGCCCTTTCGAGTAACTTATTTAACCAAGCAATTTATGTAGCAACAATTTGTATGTACCATTCGTTCTTATTATTGTCTGGTTTTTATGAGGAGCTCACATGACGTATTCCACTTGTCATTTGACCTTGTCAGCTGTTCGTCGCTTTTATTCATGTGTGTGCATGCCTATCTCGTTGATCACATGTCTGTCTTATTTTTGTCTGACTATATATTCTTAGTCATGTTCTATCTCTTGGAGTTGTCTCATTAGCCTTCTCCACATCACTTCATCCGTTCATTCGCCTATTCACTCGCTTGACTGCTTTCTGGCGCTCGAATGACGATTTTATCTTATATCGCTTGTAGTCAGCTGTTCTATTTGTACTGTGTCAAAAAATTAACGAATTCAACACTTTGTGTTCACCTTCTGATTTATAAACCGTCGGACGCCAATTAGTAACGATTGTCTGGACGAGCTGATCACAAAGATTAAGAATACGTCGACATTATAGTAACGAAGCAAATCCTTCAGTTTTATTCTTTAAATTACCTTTCAAGCAAAACCCTTCTCTGTACAATATATGAGCATATGAATTGCAATACACTTGAAGTTGAATGAATATACTTATGTATGTAGACAAACATGTGAGATGTTAGAATGAACCATAAAAAGGCGGAGATTAACTTTTTACATTCAGACGAAAAAATATTAGCTAACTGTACAAATTAAAACACTTATGATTATAAGCGAACACTTAACAAGTTCAAAATATAATTGAATATTGATGACTCAATAAGAAGTAGATGAATTGGTTTATCCAAAAGTTAGGACAAACATAAAATTAAATCAATAAAACATTGAGCACTTTACAATTAGGCGGCATAAAAGAGTTTAAATTGTCAACTTTACAACATATTATGATTCACTTGAATTTTCATTTGACATGTATAAACAAATTTATTCAACTTGAAAAGTTTTTTAGATGTTGAAACTTGAACAATGGTTTATCAGAAATCAGTTACAGTGATTAAATGATTATTTGTTTTCGATTGTTGTTTCACTGTTCAATCAATGTTCAATTTGTGTTGTTTTGATTAAGTTGAATAGATGCTATTTAGTGTGAATTGTCGAAAGGGAAGTGTTAATTCTATCTAGTCTTTATATATTCATCGGCTTCTAATGCCTGTTACCCTTACTGGAACAATATTGACTACCAACTAGCACTTCTCAACTGTAAAATTGTTACGCCTGCACATAAACATGTCAACTTGATATACCTGAACTATTACGAGTTTATCTAGTTGGAAAACGAGAGCGAGGATCGAGAATCCGGCGACACGACATGCTACATAAAGCCGATTATTCCAACCCCTTATTCAGTAAAAATAAGAAGACGTGATATGAAGTAGAACCTGTATTCTACAAGCATCCAGAAAGTACGAGGTCCGAATCCAGAAGAGAATCGGGATTCCGGATTATGGATCCAGGACCGGGTCCTGGTCCTGGTCGTGGTCATAAAACGTTATAAATAATGCGTATTTATACATTTTGGTCGAATAGGAAACAGCATCGAATTCTGTGACATTGACTGTTAAGACGACCAATCGGAAGTAACATTTGAAGTGACATTGACAGTCCGGATGATCAATAAGAAACAACATTTAAGTATTTGACTTTGACAGTTAAAACAACCATAATTTTGACCGATAGAAGTCGACCAATATGAGTTGACCGATAATTCTTCAAGGATATTGGATGAATATCCTAACAGTTTGTAAATAGAGAATTATTGTAGCTAAAGTTATATTCAAATTCCTTATCAAAAACCATTTCTTTGGGCTGGTTCTTTACACTTTATAAAACATCTTGACAGATGATTTACGTGGTTCGGTTGTGATTTCAGTTGGATGTTTGATTTTTTGTATTCCTCTTTTGATAATCATCCATGGATGGAGCATAGGCCACTGATCAGTATTCTCCAACCTACTCTGTTCTGGACATTTCTTTCTAGTTCTGTTCAATCGTCGGCCATTCTTCTCATAACTGTCTCCATTTCTCAACGTAATATATTCCTTTGACCGTCATCTTTACCTCTGATCTTAAGGATTTCAAATGAGGGCTGGCATATTTATTTATAAAAAAACTTTTCGTTTTGTACGACTAATTTATATGTAATTTGCATTACGGGGTTGTGATGATTGTTAAGTTACACATTTTTGAAACCATGAATCGATCAATGTTAGACCACCATTAGAAATCTGGAAGCAATGTACGGCCGTTTCGTCCTGGTATGGGACTCCTCAGCAGTGCACATCCACGACTCCTGCACCTTGCAGGATTCGAACTCGGGACCTCCGGTATTGTAGGCGAACGCCTAACCATCGGAACACTGAGCCGGAATCTAACAGTGTTAATGTGTAATTGAAAACTTAGCAAACTATACATGAACATTGAACTTTTTCTCCATTGATAATTTCATGCATTTTAGTTGATTTGAAATTTGAAATTTGAAATTTATGCGCATACAAAATATTCAAATTTCAATGGAAAAAAATAAATAGCTAATAATCTATAATCAATATTTGTTTAAAATGGACTATTATCACAATGACAATGATCATTTGATCAATTCAACACAATGATTTATAGTTCTTATTCATTCATTCATTCTGAACACACACACAGATCAAAAAATAAAGTATATTTATATTTTATGTTATTTGAAATACACTCATATTGGTGTTGTTGTACTTTCGGATTGTAAAGAACGAAAGTAAATCTCACCATATTTATTTCTTAGTACTGTGTGATTGGTTAAATTAAATTTTTTTTCTTAAAATGTTAGTAAAACAATGCAGTGAAATTATTGTACATTGAACAGCACAAAATTCAAACAAATCGTCTCATATTCAAGTTGTTTATCTTTTATTTCATTTTTTGTTTGTTTTGAAAAAGAAAGACGGAATCATGGATAATTTATTTTAAAAAGACAAAATATCACTACACTATTGTGGATATTTTGTTCGGTTTTTGTCGTGAAAAAAGAAGCAGATTTACAATATGGCTGCCGATCATCATCAAACATCCAATAATCAAATTGTAATGAAATCTAACAAATCGGAATTATTATTGTTTAATAAAATATGTTTAAAAGAGAATAATCGGTAAGTATGAAAGAAATTTTTGTTGGGTTATTATTTGATTAAAATCATGTATCGAACAACGACAAATGGAAGAGAAGACGACTAGTGTAGCAGCAGCCTCTGCAGCAGTAGATCTCAACATACATAAAGGAAAAAGTAAAATTCTCCGATGCAACACAACATGCACCAATCAAATCACTCTTGATGGAGATGTCTTGGAGGACGTTGACACCTTTACATATCTGGGCAGCATCATCGACGAGAAAGGTGGATCCGATGCAGATGTGAGGGCGCGAATTGGCAAAGTAAGGGCTGCATTTCTACAGTTGAAAAATATCTGGAACTCCAAACAACTTTCAACCAAAACAAAAATCAGGATTTTCAGTACAAATGTGAAGGCAGTTCTAATGTATGGAGCGAAAACTTGGAGAACTACCAAAGCCATCATTCAGAAGATACAAGTGTTTAATAACAGTTGTCTACGCAAAATACTTCGGATTCGTTGGCCAGACACGATCAGCAACAACGTACTGTGGGAGAGAACAAACCAGATTCCAGTGGAGGAGGAAATCAGTAAGAAGCGGTGGAGTTGGTGGATAGGACACACACTACGAAAAGCACCTAACTGCGTCACGAGACAAGCCCTCACATGGAACCTTGAAGGTCAAAGGAAAAGAGGAAGGCCAAGGAACACATTATGCCGAGAAATAGAGAAAGATATGAGAGGAATGAACAAACATTGGATAGAACTGGAGAAGGAAGCGCAGGACAGAGTTGGTTGGAGAAAACTGGTGGGCGGCCTATGCTGCATTGGGGGTAACAGGCGTAAGTAAGTAAGTAATGTATAGAACAGTGTGTCAGAGACTACAGTTAGAAACTGCGAAGTTCAAGTATGGCAAGTGCTCATCAACAAAATTCTTAGAGTTCTTAATGAAAAGCCAGTGGATTAGTGGAGTTCAACCTTGTAGGTTGTAGACAATTAACTATCAAAGACAATGAATGAGGTTGTGCAATATATGTTAAGACCTCTAATTGCCGGTTCAGTGGTCTAGAGGTAAGACTTTCTCAAGTAAGACTGAAGGTCTTGGATTCAATTCCCGCTTGCCGCAGTCGTGGATGCTTACTGATCATGAGTCTCATACTCAGACGAAGCAGCCGTCGAGTACTTTCAGGTTTTTAGTGCTAATCTGGCAATGATCGATGCATGATTTCAATCAAACTATCAATGTGTTTGAATTGTTATCATGTTATTAGTTTATTGAATGATATATGTAATTGTTGGCGGTATTTTGAATTCAAAAAATGAATTTCATGATGATTAGAATCATATATGTATTTACTTTTTTTATAAACTCAAAACTATGATACTTAATGATTCTGAAGTACTCAGGATGATTAAACTATTAAAGCCTTGAATATTGAACACATTTACACTGATCATTTACTAGATATCAACTTGTTATCATGGTATCACTCAAGAAGTACGAACACACCATAGTGATTGAAAAGGTGATAGATATGTCAGCCATTAACATTGTTAGATGTCGATTCAGTGGTCTAGAGGTTAGGCGCTCGCATTTACGAGTGATCGAAGTTATTGGTTTCGATTCTCGTTAACGAACTCGGCATCAATGATACATGAATGAAACAAATATTCTGGGGCAGAGTTTTGGAGGTTTGTGCTTTTACACATATGAAATCATCAATCAATCATTGTTAGACCACCATTAGAAACCTGGAAGCACTGAAAGACGGCCGCTTCGTCCTGTTATGGGACTCATCAGTAGCAGTGCGCATCCACGACTCCTGCTACTCGCAGGATTGGAACCCGGGACATTCGGTATTATGCGCGAACGCCAAACCATCAAAGTGCAACCCTGTCGGGTGTAGGCAGTAACTACCAAACACAAATGGGTGAGGTCGCGTAAAATCGCTAGATCAATCAGAGTTAGGCATTAACACCGTTGGATGCCGGCCCAGTGGTGCGATGGTTAGTCACTCGTGCACAATACCGAAGGTCCCGGGTTCGAATCCTGCAAGGAGTAGGAGTCGTGGATGCGCACTGCTGATGAGTCTCATACTAGAACGAAACGGCCGTCCAGTGCTTGCAGATTTCTAATGGTGTTCTAACAATGATTGATTGATGATTTCAAATGTGTATAAACAAATATTCATGGATTCCAGAATGCTATCGATGATCAAACAGTGATTGACTCACCTAATTTTATATACCTGTTGAATATTTTATACTCAAATGTCAAAATAATTCTTCATTTACATAAATATACTTACAAGGTCATTTAATGTAGAATTTTTTACTGTGAATTACTCTTTATACCTACATTTATGTTGTCGACGTTAGATCCCCAGAACTCACTTGATAAAGGTCCTAGTTTTGCATTTTATGTTTTAACGCATGGGCCGATCAGCTGACCTTGAGATTCCATTTCTCATACGGAAAATCCTTGACTGCGATTGGTTGATGTGTTGTTTTAGTACGCTATTTTTGTGTCTCTCCCAAGGACGTTTATATCATGTATAAATAAACTCGATTTGTGTGCTTGTCAACCTCATATTTCCTGGATGCTTGTAGAATACACTTTCTATGCCATATCAAGACTTCTTCTTCTACTTAACAGGGTCTCGTGACGCTCAGATTAGAGTAGCTATCGTGTCACAGAATCATTTTGTCTTAGCTCTAGTTTACCGACTAAGGTGAACTAGTAATATCATTCAAGTATATCAGTTGACGAGCATAACAATTTATTTATTGTCAGCTTTGAAAATCTTTAGAGTTATTAAAATTACACGATTCTCTACCAACATAAATGATTATGATTAGTGATTAATTTAATTCAAAGATTTACTTTCATGTTTTTTGATTATCGATCAACTGGAAATCAATTAATCTGAATCATGTTCGATTATAATTGCACTTTGTTTGTAGTGCAAATTTTAGTTATTGATGTTGGCTTTCTGATTACGTTTTAAATCATTGGAATTCTCCTAAAACTTGACCTATGAACTGTAGGATAAAAGAGATGACGTAAGAAAAGCAGTCTCATATCAAAGTTTATTACCCTACTTACGAAAGTCTGTTACCCTTAGTAGATCATAGGCCACCGAGCAGCATTCTCAAACCTACTCTATCCTGGGACATACATTTAGGCGTCCGACAATATTCGTGTTACTGGATCTAAAAGCGGCATTTGACTCGGTAGATCGTGAGGTTCTGTGGCAGTGTCTGTCATTGAAAGGTGTACCAAAGAAGTACATTAACCTCATACAAGCTCTCTACTCGAACACCACTGGTCGAGTGAGAGCTTATGGCGAACTGCCATCTGAATTCTCTACATCGAGTGGTGTCCGTCAGGGCTATCCACTCTCTCCATTCTTGTTTATCTTTGTCGTAGACATGCTCCTAGATATAACCTTATCCTCATCTGAATTTTCAGGAGTAGACCTTTTACCAAGTGGCTCGCTTATTGACTTAGAATATGCCGATGACATAGTCCTACTTGGTGAAGGCGCTGACAAAGTGCGGAGTCTTCTGACTACTCTAAGTAACAATGCAGGCATGTTCGGGATGCGGTTTTCCCCCTCGAAATGCAAAATGTTGCTTCAAGACTGGGTTGCATCGGCACCTGAACTAGTGATAGGGAGTGAAGTAGTCGAACGTGTAGACCGCTTCACTTATCTTGGGAGTCTCATCAGTGCCGATGGCCTGGTGACTGACGAAATCTCAGCTCGGATACAGAAGGCTCGATTGGCTTTTGCCAAACTGAGTCACTTATTGCGTAGGCGAGATATCCGTTTGCTGACTGAGTGTACTGCGCAGTACTTCGCTCCGTCCTACTTTATCGCTGTGAAACACGGCCAGTGAGAGTAGAAGATATTCGTAGGTTACTGGTTTTCGATCGTAGGTGTCTTCGAAGCATTGCCCGTGTATCCTGGGACACCCGAGTGAGCAACGCTGTTATTAGGAATCGGGTGCAAGGCAAAGATGGCAGATCAATAGATGAAGTATTGAAACTTCATCAGTTGAGGTGGTTGGGACATGTGTTACGTATGTCTAACCACCGACCGCCTCGACGAGCTATGTTTTATGGTGTAGGAATAGGATGGACGAAAGCTTGAGGTGTCCAGACCAAAACATGACAGAAATCCATGAAGTCACTGACAAGTAGACTGAGTTATGTTGGTAATTGTCGACTACCTGGTTGCTGTCCGCGAGATGATAGTAACCGATGTTTGGACACTGAAAGACATGGCTCAAAATCGTTAGCAATGGTGCAGGCGCATCCATTCATTGTGCTCTCTCAACTTCTACTGTTTTGAATTCTTCATGATCGTATTTTTCTCTCTCTGAATGACTGATATTACCATTCAAGTGTTTAGACTAAGGCAATACATCGCACATATTTAATAAGATATTGGATTGTACTTAATATTACACTATTCCTTTGTTGATGACCATGTTACATCAATCTAATCTTGAAGTTAACTTATCAGGTTATGTGTGTGAATACGATAAGACTTTGTAATAGAATTTTAAAATTAGTTACTACTTTTGTGATATTCCAGAAGTTTGACGTCCGCGCACAAGACCACAGATCCTAGGTTCCAATCCTGTGAGTTGAAGGGATGGATGGAGCCCCATACAAGGACGAAACGGCCGCCAAGTGCTTGCAGGTTCCTAATGATGGTGATCTAACATGAATCGATTCATGATTTCAAATTCCAATAATTTTCAAAATATTCTTTAAGGTTTTTCAAAAAAAATTATAAAGGAAGTAGTCACGTTTGATGTATAATATATCGAAATTATGAATCGATCACCATTAGAAACCTGTCAGCACTGGGCAGCCGTTTCGTCCTTGTGTGTGTGACTCATCAGCAATGCACATCCACAACATACGCACACGGTAAATGGAACTCAAGACCACCGATTTCATGCGCATGAACGTTTAACCTTATAAACCATTGAGCCATCATCCAAACATGTTAGGGTTTTAGAACTGTTGGGTTCGTCACTAGGTACGCTTGAAGCTATTACGAGTTCACCTTAGTCGATAGACGTGAACGAGACATTTACCAGCGTCCAGGTAGGCTACTTTGAATTCCAAGCTGAAGAAAAAAGGCTTTGTAAACGTAGAAAGTACATTCTATAAACACCCAGTAATCACAGTACAATCAAGCATACAATTCTCGTTTATTTATACATCATAGAAACCTCCTTCGGACAGTTACGAAAATAGCACACTAAAATACACAGCAGCCAATCACAGCCATGGATATTCCTGGTGGGAATTGAAATCTCAAGGTCAACTGATCATCCCATGCTCGGAAACGTGAAATCCAAAATAAGGCATTTGTCAAGCAAGTTTTGGCGATCTAACATCACCAGCACTTCTCCTCTTTTAAACAGCGTGTGCTCCTGGGGTCGACTTGCTTCTTGACTGTCGTTCGCCGCTCTCTGAGAGGATACCTTCGGGGACGAAGAACGGCTTGGTGCTGAGTTTCTTCTCGTGGCCGGTAGGTTGAAGGTATCAAGCAAGATGTCAAGAGGAAGGCTTTCTGCTGTTGATGAGCGATCTGGGGCTAGTCGTCTGCGTATCTGATTTCGATGACGTGATCATTTATCACCTCCTACCTTTACTTCGTACATAACTCGACCAACCCTTCTGACCACTCTCGCTTCTACCCAAGGACCATGGTTCTTTCTGTAGTCGCGGGCAAACACAGGGCATCCCACTTCGTAAGCGGATTGTCTTTGTGGCTTTGTCTCTACTGATCTGGGTGCAAACATGAAATCCACAAAAAGGCATTTAACAAGCGAGTTTTGGCGATCTAACATCCCTAACAAGAACCTAAGATGCAATTCATCTCATCTAAATTTTAATTTAAATGATATGTTTTCATGAGTTCTTTTAATTTATCTATTTATTTCCAAAACTTTTTGTTTATCAAGACTGAGACGTTTACATAATTGTCCTGAATTGAAATTAAGTCATCGTTTAATGAAATCGGCACAAATTCATTCGGAATATTTACAAGAATTACGTCAATTACAACAAATCACTGATATAGAATATGGTCAAAATATGGCTTTAATAATTGGTCAACAAACTTATAAAATTGCAGGTAATCTTTTTGACTCGGTGTTTTTTTTGGGTTAATATCTTGAATTTATTTCTTAACTTTTCATGACTTACTTACTTATATACATTTGAAATCATCAAGCAATCATTGTTAGACCACCATTAGAAACCTGGAAGCACTGGACGGCCGTTCCGTCCTGGTATGGGACTCATCAGTAGCAGTGCGCATCCACGACTCCTGCGAGGAGCAGGAGCCGTCCAGTGCTTCCAGGTTTCTAATGGTGGTCTAACAATGATTGCTTGATGATTTCAAATGTGTAAAAACGCAAACCTCCAATACTCTGCCCCAAAATATTACTTATATACGCCCGTTACCCATGGTGGAGTATTGGCCACCGACTAGCATTCTCAAGCCTTACTCTGTTTTTGGGCCTTCTTTTCCAGTTCTGTCCAATTGTTATTCATTATTCTCATGTCTGTCTCTGATTAGATCACCATCAGAGAAACCTGGAAGCACTGGATGGCCGTTTTGTCCTGGTTTGGGACTCATCGGTGGCAGTAGGCACTGATGACTCCTGATACTCTCAAGATTCGAACCCACGTTTCTAATGGTGGTCTAGCATTGATCGATTGATGATTTCAAGTAACCAGAAAATCTCAACAACTGTATAATACAAATCACCATGTGCTCATTAATAACTAGCTTTTTGACGAAGTTGTGTCCAGTAGAGTTCATGCTAGTTCGGGTAAGAAGCAGTGCTCTGCAAAGACAGTGAATTGATTGAAGTTAGACATCAACACCGCAATGATCCAGAGATTAGGCTTTCACTCGCGGGTCCGAATTCTGAGAGTTGCAGAAGTAGTAGATGCGCACTGCTGATGACTACCAAACTCGAACGAAACGATCATTCAGTGCTTCTTTGTTACTTATGGTGGTCTAACATTGACCAGTTCATGATTTAAAAGTAACTAAACAATCTTAACAATCCAATGGTGTAAATTAGTTTAGTAGTGAAAACTACGGGGCATTCGTTAACTATTTCATTTGACTAGACGACTTCTTAGCAGTCCACGTAAACAGTTACTTTGATAACAATACTTAAAACCTTGAGGACTTGTGGTGAAAGTTTAACTACTTATCAACGAGTTGGAACGTAACTATTTATATTTCTAACTTCTGTCTACCTATAATAGATAATTACTTACTTACGCCTATTCCTCTTAATGGAATTTAGGACGCCAATCAGCATTCTCATACCTACTCTGCGCTGTGTCTTCTTTTCCATTTCAACTCAATCGCTATTCATTCTTTTAGGTGTCCACTTCCATTTCTCACCGTAATGTGTTCTTTAATCTTCCACTTTTCTTTTGTCCTTGACGATCTCAAGTGACGCATTCAAGTGCTTTTCTCAATGCGTGCCCTATCCACCTTCAACATGTTTTCCTAGTGTCTTTCTTAGTGAGAATCTTGTTTGTTCTCTGCCATACTAGGTGGTACCATACTGATGGTACCTGACCAAAGTCTGTCAATAATATAGCATTTTTGTAATGTACTCATGTTCATTTATCAACGATCAATCGGAAGTAACATTTGAAGTGACATTGTTATCTAGGACGACCATCAAACTGACCAGTAGGAATGGACCAATAGGAATAGACCAATAATTCTCTTAGGATACTGGATGAATATCCTAACAAACCTATGACCCCATAAAGAGTAATATAAACAAGATCCTTCATTCTTGTGCGTGAATGCTTAACCTATTGACCGATGAGTTGGCACTCATTGGTGTTTACATCAAACTTCAATCAATCCACCATATTGCCTTATACTCGACATGATTGAACCCCAATTATCATAGTTTGTGATTTCAACGGAACTCCGCAATTTCCATAACCCTGTACTGAAAATTATATTGTGATCGCTATCTATAAATAAATTACTAACAATGATTGATTGATGATTTCTAATGTGTAAAAACGCAAACCTCCAAAACTCTGCCCCAAAATATCGTCACAGTGCTCACTAGTGACTAGCATCGTGAGGAAATTCTCGGAGTTCTAGTTGAGAAGACGTGACCAATGGAGTTCAACCATGTCGGGTGTAGTCAGTAACTACTAAAGACAAATGGGTGAGGTCGCGCAAAATCCCTAGATCAATCAGAGTTAGACATGAACACCGTTGGATATCAGCCGGCCCAGTGGTCCGATGGTAAGGCGTTCGCCTACAATGCCAAAGGCCCCGGGTTCGAATCCTGCGAGGAGCAGGAGTCATGGATGCGCACTGTTGATGAGTCCCATACCAAGACAAAACGGCCGTCCAGTGCTTCATGCAGGTTTCTAATGGTGGTCTAACAGTGACTGATTGATGATTTCAAATGTGTAAAAACACAAACCTCCAAAACTGTGCCCCAAAATTACTAATGCCTATTATTGAACATTGAATACTTGTATTGAAATACGTGAACAAAGTATCATCAGTTTACATGAAATTGCATTTAATCCGTTTTTTCTCTCAAACAACAAATTATCTTCTTATGTCAATGTTTTTCATTAAAAAACAAACTCTAAGCTGATTATATAGTTTAGCCAAATGTGTCATATGTCAAGTAATTTTTAAAATTAATTAGTTTATAAAAAATTCTAATACATTTTAATTGCAATTTAAACAATCATTTTGAAATTGATAATTTAACCAAAAAATTAAAACCGCATCTTCAATAATACTCGTCATTTGTGAATTGTTATGACCTTGTCAAATGATGAGAACACATCGTGCGTGATAAAAGTATGATATACATTAATAACCGTGAATGACCTAATCAAAATATAAGATGATGTATTTAAAGTGCATTGATATATGTGATCTTTGAAAATGCTTTGAAATCAATAGAAATTATTTTTTTAATTATGAAATTGAAAAGTGAATTTAACATTGATGAATAAGTTAGATTACTCAATGTACCGGCTCTTAAGGTGAAACTGTATGATACAGTATTTGTTTTAATTCAGTGCAACTCCATCTGGAGCACTTATAGGGTTACTATCAGTCCTAAGCCCACGGATATAGGTGGAGGGTTGGGCATAGGGTTAGCGACCAGATCTTGTAGAAATCCAACTGGCTGAAAAAAGTGCTAACCAGGAGAAATAATTCGCTGGTTGACGGCCTTTACTCCATTAGAGGTAACCGTTGCAAGTAAGTAAGTTAGTATGATTCGATGAGGTATCAAGTGTTTCGTGAAGTTATGTTAGAATATTCATCCAATATCCTGAGAGAATTATTTTTGTAAGTCTAATTCTATTGGTCAATATTATGGTCGTCCTAGTTATCAATGTCATGTACTTCAAAGTTGTTTCCCATTGGTTGACCTGATTATCAATGCCATGTACTTCAGTGTTGTTTCCCATTGGTTGACCTGATTATCAATGCCATGTACTTCAGTGTTGTTTCCCATTGGTTGACCTGATTATCAATGCCATGTACTTCAGTGTTGTTTCCTATCCAACCTAAATGTATAAATATGTATTATCTGTAACGTTTTATGAGTCGGACCCTGATCCTCAGTCCGGGATCCTGATTCTCTTCTGGACTCGAACCTCGTGCTTTCTGGATGCTTGTAGAATACAGGTTCTACTTCATATCAAGTCTTCTTCTTTTTACTCGATATGTGGGTTGGAACACTTGGATTCGAGTAGCGTCTCATGTCGTCGGATCATCGATCCTCGTTCTCGTTTACTGATTAAGGTAAATTCGTAATACTTGAAGCCTATCAAATGACATGTTTACCTGCATGCGTAACAAGTTACGTGGTATTTTCTCCTTTTAACTGTTATTTTATACGTTAACTGTGAATTTCTTAAGTTTATAAGCTGAAGGTCGATAAAGCATCACACCATAACTGATTTTATTTAGTGATGAAAACCCAAAACCTAATGTAAAAAAATTAAAATCACATGCTCAACTTAATCCTTAATATCTAACTGTGATAATCAGGAGTATTTGTATTCATTAAACCAACTAGTAATATGTAGAAATGTTCAATTTGTATTCTAGTTGTCACGTACGAACTAATACGGAACTCGGAAAGAACAGTTTAACTGCAAAGCAGGTGATTTGGTTAAATAACGGTTCTAATATTCATCATAAATATAAATTTACATCATTACCTAAACAAATATTACCACTTAGTTATTCCACCAACAATTGTTCAAGTATTCAAATCAACTGGAGCAAATAAATGTTATTCTATCCCCCCTGGATAGATCAGATTCGTTCGAAAGATAAAATTTAGTTGCTTTATAGAACAGAGTGTTTCCTGTTCTGGAAGATCGCCTAAATTGACAATCAAGATGCACAATTCCAGTCCGTACAAGCAATCCAATCAAAAGAGGAACAAATCAATATGGCTGTCGTCATGACTAAGTATCACCTTAAACAACATGAAGGCAGTTCAGAAAGAAACATAGAAACTCAGTAAAGGCACAAGAAATAGAAACTTTAATAAAATACAAAGATTATCATCTCAAAGCCGGAATTGAACACACTAACAAAATGTACAACTGAAGAAACCGATAAGGACATATTATAAATGTATACATGGAGAAATTTTCACAAACAAAGGCTTCGAAAAATGGATCTTACATTGTATTACTAGTTTAGAATTAGGCTCAGAATAATGTATAATGTGATGATTGAGGATTCATCAAATCAAAACTATGATTCCATTGATATTTCATAGCATATAGCTGTTACTCATTGGATAATTAGTTAGCGTTTTCCAATTAACTGATAAGTTAGCTGCTCAAGGTCGTCAGTATGGATTTGATCATTGAATATTTATGAGCTTATCAATTTTATATTTCCTATACTTCTATATGTTTAAGTTTTACGGGTGAAAGAAACTAGTTGACAGTGTGATAAAAGGTGGAATTCCAATGGACTTGTAGTATTAATCATTTGACATCGTTTTAGTCCAACGTTTTACTGTTTTATTCTACAGTTTGATGTTCACATTTTCATATAATATTATAGTGATATGGAATGTATGTATGAGGTATTATATTGAATCTTTGAAGACTAATAAGTTGACGAAGATCTAATCTGAAATATAAATGTTATGCTCGTCAGTTGATATGTTTGAATGCTAATACGAGTTCATGTTACTCGGTAAACGAGAGCTAAGACAAATGATTCTGTGACACGATATGCTATTTTAATCCGAGCGTCACAAGGCCCCACTAAGTAGAGGAAGAGGTCTTTACAAGACGTAGAAAGTGTATTCAACATGCACTCAGATAATCGAGGTCCATCGGCACATAAATCGAGTTTACTCATACAAGATAGAGACGTCATTGAGAGAGCCACAAAAGTAGTGTACAAAAATAACATATGAACCAATGACAGTCAAGGATTTTCCGGGTGGGAAATATAATCTCCAGGTCAACTGATCAGCCTATGCGCGAAAGCACAAAAAATCCAAAACTAGGACGTTTATCAAGTGAATCCTGGGGATCTAACGTCCTCAACAATAAAGGATTTCACTTTGACGATAATTACTAATGTTGTGAATGAGAACACAGGTGGGGCAGCCGAATTGTACAGAGTTACTCAGTAAAATCGGAAAACCATATCGTACATTGTTCATTTGCAAAAGATCAGTTCATCCTATGGAACTGGACCGTTCTTGTTGCCAAACATCAATCCATTGTCACTATTCATGCGTTTCATACAAATTCCATTGTTTTCTAACTCTTCCTTTCTTGATCTTCCCCCCATATTATGCTACCAGACTTTACTTTGACACTCACGTCATATATTACTTATAAGTAGTTCGCACCACAGCACCACACTAAGAGTATATCGATGATAGTAAGCGGTCATCAACTTATTTATCTTACTAATGCACATTTCTAAACATCATTTGAAATTTTAATTAGGAATGATAAAGTGAGAACCACGGATGTTTAACATCCGGTTGATGAGACTCAAATAGAACGAAATAAGCCTTTTAGGTTTAGTGTTCCGCTCAGCTTGAAGATGCTGCTGATTAAAATATTAAAGCATCTCTCTCTTGATATGGTTATGGGAAAATCGAGACCTATCAAGCACAGTTCTTAATCTTAAAACAATCAGTACGAATAAAATGTGCTCCATTTTGTAAATACACTTTTTGTGGTGTGATCTTATCATTTTCCATTAGAGTTTAGTCAAAACAAAATATAACTAAACAGACTTGTCAGCTAATTTTAATAATGAAACGTTCGTCTGAATTATGGTGGAGTTACGTTCATTGAAGTTAGATGTTTGGGTCATGGAGTTCTCATTGTTCCGTTGAACAGCTTCATCAAACCGAAATTCTAGCACCGGAGTGAAGTATTCAAATTTCTCCTTGTCGTTTGTCCTCTTGACCTCAGTTTACTTAATTAAAAATTTTATCACGTTGTCTGAAATTGTACAAAGTTTGGTAGATTTAAGTTTTCTTGTCAAAGAATTTCAAAAAAAATACTTAATAAATGTTTTTTAAACATTTCTAGGACTCAATGCAATACGAGCATGGTATAAACAATCAGAAAATTATGACTATGAAGATGATTATCAAGAATATAAAGGAAAGTTATTTTTATGTTTTGTTTTGTTGACTACTTATGAGTAGGTAAAATATTTTTTTTCAAAATAAATTAGATTTTTTATATTTTAGAACGGTTGAATTGCTAATGATAAAAACTCAACTTCTCTTTGTTTGTTCAATATTAAATTTACTGGAAGATGTGGTTTTATATTTCTTTCCACCTTTCGAACCTGATTTATTTAGTTACTTTAATCCATATTTTGTAATCACATAATGAAATCATCAATCAATCATTTTTAGACCACCATTAGAAACCCGGAAGCACTGGACGGCCGTTTCGTCCGCACCCATTCGTCTTCAGTAGTTACTATCTACACCCGATAGGGTTGAAATCCACGGCTTTAGACAGTTACTACCAAAGAAAAATGGGTGCGGTCGCTCAGAATCCCTAGATCAATCACAGTTAGACATTAACACCATTGGATGCCGGCTCAGTGGGACGGAGGTTAGGTGTTCGCGAACAAGACCGAAGGTCAGGGGTTCGATTCCTGCGAGGTGTAGGAGTTGTGGATGCGCACTGCCACTGATTAGTCCCATAACAGGACAAAGCGGCCAATCAGTGCTTCCAGGTTTCTAATGTTGTTATAACAATGAGTGATTGATGATTTCAATTGTGTAAAAACACTAATCTCCATAACTCTAATTGAAAATAGCATAATAGTTTGGTACCTTTACACTGTCTTAAATTCACTTCACAGATTCTTCCCTGTATATGTATGTAGTCAGGATAAATTCCCCAAAAATAGTACATATATAATTATACAGACAGATACAACGCAGAACTTCGTACGTAAGTGCGTCAGTTCAGGTTGCCATACCACATTAGCACAGAGACGCAACTGTCAGTTCAAATCCAAGAGTGATAGCGATAGTAGAAGTATTAGCATTAATGGAGAAGATTAGGGAGCGAAGATATGATTCGAAAAGTATAATTAAGTAAGATAAATTTAGAAGGAGAAAGATAGAGACTATGAGGAATTCAGAAGGTTAGAATTAAAAAGCATACAAAGAGTGGATGCACCTGAGCCATTGCAAACGATTTTGAGCCATGTCATTCAAGGTCTCTAACCATCAGTGATTATCGTCTTGCAGACCCCAACCAGGTAGCCGACATCTACCAACATGACTCAGTTCACTTGTCAGTGACTTCATGGATTTGTGCCATGTTTTGGTTTGGCCGCCCCTAACTTTCTTCCAACCTACTCCTACACCACAAAACATAGCTCGTCGCGGCAGTCGGTGGTTAGCCATACGTAACACATGTCCCAAACACCTCAACTGACGAAGTTCTCTTACTTCATCTATCGACTTCCCATCCCTTCCTAGGACTCGTTTCCTAACAACAGCATTACTTATACGGTTGTCCCATGAGACACGAGCAATGCTTCGGAGACATCGATGATCGAATACTAGTAACCTACGAATATTTTCTACTCTTAACGGCCATGTTTCACATCCGTACAATAGGACGGAGCAAAGTGCTGCACGGTACACTCGTCCTTTTGTTAACGGGCGGATATCTCGCCTGCGCAATAGGTGACGCAGGTTGGCAAAAGCTAATCGAGCCTTCTGTATCCGGGATGAGATTTTTCCAGTCACCAGGCCATAAGCACTGATGAGACTCCCCAGATAAGTGAAGCGGTGTACAGAAAATATATAATGATACCGATAGTCGTAAAGAAAATATTCTCTAAATATGCTAACTCAGACTGACTTTATCTTCAAATAATCTTTGTTTCGGTTCTAGTAAAACAAGACGTAAGTATCTTTTTAGTAACTGGAATAATTTCAACAGAGGAATCTTCAGTTTTTTGAAAAATATTACACTAAACCAGCAGGTATTACCTGTAAAACTGTACATCAAGAATAAGAAATTGGACGAACAAACCGTCTACAGTCATGACAAAATTAAAGGATTACTTTCTAGAAACGTTCTGACTGGAAAATTAGCACGGTGATCTTATAGTACCAAGGTTGTAGGTGGATTGATTTACGCTTGACTTGCATAAGAATTATGCAAGTTATTGAATCTAAGATATAATGCCAAGAGTTTGTTTGAATATTCAAATTGAATCCCTTCTTTTTGAACTGGTTTCAGTCCCTTTTTCAGTTCTTATGCTGTCTCATTTAAGCCTAGTTTATAATCAATGTATTTTTTGAATAAAATTACAGGTTATTTCACTCAAATGATTTGGAAGAAAACTAGAAAAGTTGGATTCGGTTTTACAAAATCTGACGTGGGCAATACAATTTTTGTAGTTGGACATTATTTACCAGCTGGTAATAAAACTTCTGAATATCATGATAATGTTCTACCAAGAAAAAAAAGTAAGTTGACAGAAATAGACAATACTAGCCTATTATCATAATCTTGAAGTAAGTTTATATTGTATGTGCTTACTTTACTTACGCCTGTTATCGACCAGTGAATTATTTTTCATGTTAACGAGTTGGATTTCTACGAGATGGGATTACTAACTCCCATTTCCACCCTTCCTCTTTTATCTTCCGGCTTGGGCGCCGACAGTAACCCTAGAAAGGCTTCTAGTGGAGTTAGTAAGTTTACGTAATAACTAATAAATTCACTATTGACGTAGTATTTATTTTGTTGTTTGTTAAAATTCATAGGTAGTTTTAGCAATTTTGAGATACTACTCAATTTGATAAATATCTTAGGATGTTTTCTCATACTGTCAAAAAAGTACAAAACCTTTTTGCTATGTGTGTAGTTCACGTAATATGTTTTGGCTAAAAATACAGATGCAGTAATTTCTAAACACCGAAATCATGCATGGATCATTGTAAGACCATTGTAGGAAATCTGGAAGCACTGGACGCCCATTTCATCCTACTATTGGGCTCACCAACAGTGTTCATCTACGACTCCTGCTACACGCAGGATTCGAACACATTACGCTTCATCACTGAATCACTGAGCCAACATCCAATGGTGTTAATGTCTAATTGATCAATCTAAGGATTTTGTGCAACCTCACTCATTGTCTTCGGCAGGTAACTACAACCAACAGAGTTGAACTCCACCGGTCACGTCTTCTCACTGGAACTTCAAGAATTTCCTAAGGAAATTAGACACTATTGACTCAGCTGAATTTTATGTTGTTATTAATTATTATTTGTTCGGTAAATAAAGTTCAGCTCATTTGTTTTAGTCACTAATATACAATAAAAACTAATTTTGTACGTGACAAGGTTGATTGCTTTTAATAATATAATAATTTAATGGCTGTCATTATTGAGTGAAAGAAATGAAATCATCTGACAACATATATATTGAAACAGTTGTCCCTTAGAAGACAACTTATGATGTATGATTAATTTCGAATGACCAAATATGAAATTTTGTATAGTTGGATAAACTTTGCACCGAATTGCAACTGCTTATCACGAGATAACCAAGTTAAAATCCCGTTACAACCAATAATCAGAAAACCAGCTGAGATTGAAGGTCGAGGTACATTTATTGATGGTCTCGTGATTAGGAAACAACATCAGGATCACAATAAATGCCATGGACGAAACCACCGAGGCAACCGAGCAGTGTCAGCAGCACGTGACGCGGACAATTATGATTTTTAGTACAGTTAAACAAAAGAGTACGGTAAAACAATCACCAGTACAACTGGTTACAGTAATAAATGTTTCTGGCAAACTGGTTGCATTCTCTTCATACAAGTATTCAACTACAAGTTATTTTCAATACGAAAGAATTAGGGGTTGTAAATTACAATGTCATATTCATGTTATATTAGTTCTGTTTGATTCCATTAAGTAACTGATTAATTAGTGTATACATTTTTTTGCATTAAAAGTGAAAGATAAAACTTTGAATGACTGCTTTAAATTCAAAATAGAGCTTCAATGGCTCACTATTTGACTGCAGCCTGAATAAATGATCGGATATGCGATGAATTTGAAAAACATGCTAGAATAAAGAAAAAATCAAAGATTACTGTCATATATTATATAATACTTGTAAAAACAGATTGATCATATGCACAGGGCTTAGTTACGAAGCCGAAAATTCGAAATTTCAACTTATATCATGTAAGATTTATTTAACGAAATAGTAAAACTGAAGTTTGACAAATTCACAGTTGTTAGAAAATCTAGAAGGGAAGGATGAGTGTTTTTATGTACTTGTTTTGAGTACCCTTTAACAAGTTTGGTGAATCAATACAAAAATGCATCAAGTAAACCTTATATTATCCTGTATGGATTAATTCATCTGTATTAAATAGGCGCATTCAGTTAGGGGATGCATGTGAAAGAAATTTCCGGAGCTGAAAGTATATATTCAACTGATACACGGTGTTTGGTTAACTGAGCTAACTGATAGTTGTATAAATTCATTTGCTTAACATTAACAAATTGAATGTTTTGTTATAATGTTTTGCTTATTTATTTTTAACTTAAATGATGAATGAAAGGATATTTTTATAATTATAGGAGCTCGTGATATAGCGGACCAGGATAATCGTTCAAATCATTCTGACAAAAATGTCAAAGAATATCAGAAATCTTGTTCCAACGGTCAGTGTGTGGTAATGTGAATATTTACGTACGAACAATTCAAAAAATGAATCTTTAAAACTTAAGATAAGCCTGAATGAGTATTTACAATTATTTAGTGGTAATCCATTCTAAATTTGTTCAGTTCTCATTTGTAGTGAATATGCTTTTTCAAGTTTGAATAGTTTTGTAGCAATAAATAATTGAAGTGAGCATAAGGAGTGTCTAAAAGATGTTGTGATTCATGAATATGTTTTTATGTATCTTCTTAGCTTATTCATCCCATCGAACGAAGAGTAATTTAGGACTAGTGGATAATACGTTGTCATTTAGTCACTTACTTCGAATTTTCAGGTTTGTATCACTAGGTTACTGAAAACTGATGGAGTAGTCGCACTTATACCAATTACCAAGGAGGAGCAACCTTTTACTTCTCCAGTGGGCTGAAGCAATAAATTACTGCTGCTTTTCAAAGTATAAACGAGTGCAGTGAACTCCGAATTTAGTGAAAGAACAAAAAAAACCCATCAGATTTTCTCTCTCCAATGTTAAGTAAGGAAATGAGTGAAAGCGATTTATCATATAGTGCACTCTGAACCAGTATGTTCTTCCTCTGTATTGTGTTGTGACCCGTAGTCATTTTGTTTGTGCATAGTATCCGATTGTACTAAGTCTTGTTTGATATAGGGACAATAAGTTTTACTCAGAATTTCGAAAATGCTATTTTAAGTCAAAAGTTTTTTCAGAATTCAGAACATTCTTACAGACTGTTCAATGTGCTATCGTAGTGACACGCAGGATAACTTTAATTTTTAGGAACAATTGAATATGTTATGAAATTAGTCCTCTCCATCTTTTCCACATATTACATGTCAGATAACTCCGTTTATGCAACGGCGGTCATAAGAAGCTAAAGCTGGTTTCTTTTGGATGAAAGTTTTCCATACATTAGCTAAGCTTAAGTGGAAGGAAGCGTAAAAGCGAAGCGGTGATGCAGGGAAATTGAGTACATGTACTAAGGTATGACGAAGTACTTATAGTCGGAAATAGCAATATATTAGCAATACGTGAGCGAAATGGAGTAAAAATAACCAAGTTTATAAGAAATTAATAGACAAGATCAAGAGGTATGTGAATAACGGACAGAAATGAATAGTTTCATGAGTTTTTGTTAAGGCTATAAAAATCTATATGGGCCGAACACATCAGTGCACACTACATACCAACGTATCAGTTGACAAGAAAGCAAACTAGACAGAAAAAATATAGCTGAACCACCAGAGAACCATTGAGCCTAGTGTTTCATATGGGTTTTTAAGGTCGCGTTACTACAAAGGGTGATTCATACGAAAGTCTAGCTAACACAGTTTTTGAAAAAGTTTGATTTGTAAGTTTCATCTATAGAGAAGTAACTGATTGATGGAAAATAGCCTCTGAAAATATAATTAAGAAGCTAACGTTGGATTATACGTTCCGTTTACAAAAAATCGAGAACTTTTAAGTGATCTGAACTCTTTTCTTAGGCTATAGAATTTGTGGGTGGTTCTTGCATACTGGGGAAGCTACTGAAACCCTAAAGTGCGATCCTGCAAGTTCGCTTTCACTAGGACAGAAATCATATTGAAACGTTAGCTTATATATAACAGAACCAGAAATCCTTTTGTGTTCAAGTTTTCTTAAACTCGACAAAACTGCATGAAACTGAGATTGTAAGATTAATAGTTACAGAATGTAAGACTGCTTGCTGTGATCGATTTACTTAATGTTCTCAGGCGAACAGACCTCAAGTAAAGTAGTTACTTACTTATTAGGCTACTATCTGATCTATCTAGTTTTACCTGCAGGTCACATCACTTTCTTCATGATCTGCCATAACGTGACGATCAAAGTTTCTTTGAAATGACAGCATCTTTGGATATAATTCTGGATCTTATTTAGGTTACAATCAATCATATCTCCGAGTTCAGTAACCGGCTTCATTTTAACTTGAGTATTTACTTATCAGAAGCTATCACCTAATGAAGTCGGAGATCAATTAGTAGCGATGTGGTGAATAATGAGTCAAGACGTCTAATGCAAATCAGAAGAACGTTTCAGAACTAAGTAAATAAATGAATAATTTAGTTTGGTAATTGGTAGTGAAGATTTTCCAAGAGCACCAAAGTGTAAGCTAGGTAATAGAAGCTTAGATAACTATAGAAATAAATTAGGTTATCAATCTGAGGAGATGGCAATAATAGCAACTAGCAGGTTTCAAGGCATGCATCACGCACAGCTGGTCCACTAGAAAGGTGATAATCCGTCTGTGAGGAGGTTTGTGTCAAATACCCATAATCGTAATAAACGAATAAGGATCGAGCTCAAAGAAGTCGACTGGTTTATATTATCTAGTGAAAAGCTAATGAATTTTGGATATTAGAGATCACCTCTGGTTCCACTCTTACTCAGGAAGAATAATCCAAAGTGCTAGAGTCTATCTTCGTATGTTTTGTTCTTCTCATCTCTGCAGTCGATCCAGTAGGTTTATGTCTCTTTTAAGGAGAGAGGGTGCGACAGCGTTGTGAAACTTTCTCTGTTGGTGCGCATGTCTTAAAAAACATTAAAAATAATTCTAGGGTGATATCGTCAAGCTGAATTTGCATAAAGTTAAGATTTGAATTAGCCTTGGCTGCTTCGAACTGGTGTCTAGGTTTTCAGTGTTGATTAAAAGAATTGGCCCAGTGGCACTAATTGGTGCAAGTGGCACAAATAGACTTCGCTACAATAGAGGAATAGACAGTAGGAAAAGATCTGTCAAAATTTCATGTGTCGAAAATTATGTCCCTTGTGGCACAAATAGCTTTGATCCTTCGTGGACGGTCGCTCCCATATGTTTCCTGAGAGCGCGATGGCTGTCCAATAAACGCAAAATGTTTGACTGTCGGTTCAAGTTATATGGAAAGCGGGTCCGGTCAATTCAAATGCAAAACCTAATTCGGAGCAATCAAGCGACAGTTATTTCCAACTCTTTTAAAGTATACACGCGGTTCCACCATGATGTTTATGATTTTGTCGCAATCCTTCTCCGTAAGGGGTTTAAGCTTCTTAGGACGATGGAAGAGACTAGCGACAAAGTGAGCTATAAATTTAAAGAGTAAATCATTTGACCACAAACTCCAATATTCTCTCGGAGTTGTGATAGAATAATAGGTGATGTGTAAGCACTTAGGATGTTCCCCCAGTGGGCGGCGTCGAGATGGGATTTGACAAACACATACTCACAAAAGGACTATGATGTCCCAGCCGGATCAGCTGCAACGGATGAATGTCTCACAATTTGTTTGTAGTTATCATAATCTCTTCATCAAATCACGAAATCATGTAATCCTACCTATAATAAATTATTTTTCTACTTTTTCATCTCAACCTGTCTACACTATTAATTAATTAGCCTAATTATTCAGTTCCAAAGACAATCCTTCTCTACTTAGCTTCATGAAATTTTATTGATTCTTCTCCGCATTGCAACCAGTTGATACCAGCCCTGGTAATGTAATAGCTCTCATTTCAAAGAAACCTTACTGCCAAGAGCTCGACGCAGTAATTCAATGCACGGGACACACATATCCATATGAACTGCCGATTGATTAGAATTAATGGTTAGACTACCACTGATTGGTCATAAACGAGTGGCTGAGATCGCATCCAAAGAATGAGATGCAAGAGCTAAAATTGGCCGGTTTATACTGGCTTTTGTAAAAAATACTGGATCAAGAAGTTCTTACACAAGTTAACAAGACGGTTAATGTTTTTATACGAAGACACGCAGCATAGCGTACATATTATTGATCAAGTGCTTTCAACTAGACTGTATCCAATAAAGCCAACTAGGTTAGCATCAGTGTCGAAGATCAAAGGAATTGTTTAATTTAAGCATTTCTTTACCATCACAGACTACGCACACAGAGATGAATATCAATAAAAGAGTCGGCACAGATGTTTGATCCTCTGTTTAAAGGCACAAATGCCAAGAAGCATGTATGTCATGTTACTTCTGATTTTGCTTCTTTAAAAGTATGACTGATGTGTGAAAGTTCACTTTTGTTCGAAATGTATCTTTATTTATTCTTGAAAACGCAAAAATAAGAAAAAATCAGCGATTTGTTTTACCTTGGAGAAATATTTTAACTGATCGTATACTTTAAAAATAGGAATTTCACCTTATCAACCTTGACACACACCTCAAGGTTGTCCGTTGGTAGTTTTTCAAATGGTAAGATGTAGTGTGCTTGTATCCGCTTTAATAATGCTTATTTCTAAGATATTCGTTTATTGTGAACTTAAAGCTCTCTTATTATTATTTAAATAACGCTTTCTTTACTACGTCATTGTTTGTTAGAGTCTGATTTCCTAATTTAGTGTAGTTAATATGTGTTCCCTACTGTTAATTCATACTTCATATGAATATATTAGAGTTTATATTTTTCAGTTTTGCAGTTTATCATAAAGTTATTTGTTTCCGATGCTTTTTGCTCACGTTAACAAGTCCGAAAACATTTTTATATTTGACGACTCATTCCACTGTCTTACTAATGTTACCTGATTTACGGGCAGGTAAATAATAACTTAAGGTTTATTACGTATCAAAGCATTTGTATTATGGAAGGCAAGTAGATACGTACTATTAGGACACTATCTTCAAGCTTGGGATTAATAGCTGTCAGTAATAAATATGAATACATGTTTATTCCAAAAGGTCTAAATTAGCAGCTCTTTCTGGTGTGCTGGAATTAAAATCAAGCCTCGTGCCGCACTATTACAGCATCAATTGCAGCTTTGAAAGCATGAGAGGCTTGGTGGCCTGTGTCAGCCTTAGCAATTTCAAAATCTCACTTGATCCAGCTTTCTCTTAAATGTGTTGACAGATGGAGCCTCAACCACATGTTAAGGTAATGGGTAAATTCTTTTAGCTACTCTATGAGGAAGTTAATAGTCATCTTACAAGTAGTTTATTCCGGCTTTTGATCGTTTTCATAGTATTCTCTCTGTTTTGGAAAGCAGGAAAAATGAGATCATGTCAGATGCAAACAATTTAAAAAGAGGTCAAATCACTTTGGGTCCTTCTGTTTAACAATAGAACTAGGTTTAGTTCAGCCAATTTCTCAACATAAAGCAGTCTTGCTACTCTTGAAATCAACTCAATTTTAGTTCTCTGAATGTCTGTGAACAACTTACCGTCGTTTTATCGGCAGGGGCTAGCCGCTAGTATGCAACATCTTTAGGACGAACGAATACTGTATACAAAGTCGAAAATGTCTTAGAATCGACATGGCTAAAGGTTCCATATGTAGATCAAAGGGTCCTAAAACCATTGGGGGGCTATTGCACAGCAACGCTCAGTAGTCCTCGAGTCGCTCTCCGTATCTTCGTATCGTTCGTATATAAAAAAACTGATTATAAGAGATTAGGAAGGAAGGAGGAACGATACTGGCTACAAAACTGTACTGAGGCATAGTTTCTCAGCTAGGCAACTTGGAGTGAACTTGTACTCTGTTGGCATCCAACTAGGAAATTCTTGATCCACATAAGCAACTTGCCCCCAATCCCAATATCACTTAACTTAGACAAAAGCCAATTGTGAAGGGGTTTGTCAAAAGCCTTTTTAAAGTAGATGAAGGTTACATCTGTAAGTAGCTTTTGAGTTTCGAGAGCACACCAACTTTTAAAGGCTACTGACGAGTTTGTGAGGCATGAATAGTCTGCTGCTTCTCAAAAAGAATCTGGTCGTCGTCTAGATACTCAATTAGTTCGTTACGAATGATCTTTTACAATTTCCACAACCACATTAGTAGGTTTATGGGACGGTGGTTCTCAGGTTCATATCTCGTATCTATTTTGAAGACACTACTTACTATGGAGTTTTTCTCCTTCTAGATTTATCTTACTGAATTATACTTTTCGAATCACATCTTCGCTCCATAATGTTCTCCATTACTGCTAATACTTCTATTATTGCTATCACTCTTGGATTTGAACTGACAGTTGCATCTCTGTGCTGATGGGGCATGGCGACCTGAACTGATGTACTTACGTACGAAGTTCTGCGTTGTATCTGTCTGTCTGTCTGTCTAGCCATTCGGTAATCTAATTTGAGTTGCAGATGGCTTAAAACAAGTGATTAATGGGTATGTGATGAAATTAGCCAGTTTCCTGATTAATCTCGGATTCAATTCATTAGGTCCCATAGATCTGCCTGAATCAAGCTTATTCGTCAGACTGACACCGTGTTCCTCATAGTGTTCAGAATGTGTAGGGAGAGGCACCTCTATAGTATGTACATTGCTGAAATATTTTGATAATACCTGATCTTTACGATAATTATCTTCCGCCACTGATTCAGTACTACAGTCTCCGTATGCTAACATGCTTCCTCCGCTTATAGTCCGTTGGTTTATGTATGAGTATGGGCGTTTTGGCTATTTTATGGACTCATTAATTAGTTTCTCTTGATACAATCTAGATTTTCAAACGATTAAGTCTGTCAAGTCATGTCCAGCAGTTCACCTGGCTCTGATCGCCTGTGGAGTAAGCTACAGGCATGTGTGTAACGAGTGATTAGTACTTATAGACAGAAGATTCCTCATCTCTTCATTTTATTTCCGTTCTACAGTAGTAAGTTCCTTTCACTAAGAAACTTAAATACTATTTTTAGCAACCCTGTTTGATTTTCTTATGACTACTTTAAGCTTTCTAGTCCATAGACTTTCAGCAAGGTAACCGCATACATATCTGGAGCCGTTAGCATATTTAATAGACATTTAATCAGCCCAGTGGTCCTGCTCTAAGCATATTTCGGGATCAGAGCTTTCGCTCTCATTTACTCTATGAAAGATGTCTGACCTTTTTCATGACTTTTACCCGTTAGTTGAACTGAGTGATTTACTACGACTTTCTCCACTGGATACAGATCTAACCTTAAGATCAGAATTCTAAGGCGCTTCTTGGCTGCTACTACTAAGAGGTCGGTGCACGGACAGAAATGCTTTTTATTTCTGTTTTCTTGACTTGCTTTAGCCACACCAAGTCATTTTCCACTTTAATGTAACGAATTATCGTTTCGGTGTAAAAAGAATCACATGATTTCATTGGAAGCTTCTATAGCTGACCTAACTTACTTACTTACGCCTGTTACACCTGATGGAGCATAGGCCACTGACTAGCATTTTTCTGGTTAGCTTTTGTTTTAGCAAGTTGATTTTCTGTTGGATAAGGTTGCTAACCCTCATCCTTTATCCAGTCTTGGAACCGACAGAAACTGCAGAAGGGCTTCAAGCGTAGTTTCTATAACTGACTTACTATTTACTTACGCCTGTAACCCCCAATGGAGCATAGGCCGCCCACCAGTTTTCTCCAACCAACTCTGTCCTGGGCTGCTCTCTCCAGTTCTGTCCAATGTTTGTTCATTCCTCTCATATCTTTCTCTATTTCTCGGCATAATGTGTTCCTTGGCCTTCCTCTTTTCCTTTGACCCTGAGGATTCCATGTGAGGGCTTGTCTTGTGTTGCATAACTGAGTATAACATTAATTTAGATTTTCTTTTTGTTCAAACTAACAAAACCATAAATGATCTTGCAAGTAAGTAGCAGGAGTCATGGATGAGCATTGCTGATGCCTTTCGATACCAGGACGAAACGGTCACCCAGTGCTTCCAGGTTTCTAATAATGGTCTAACAATGATTGATGGGTGATTTCAAATGTGTAAAATCATAAATATTGTTTCAGTTAAATTAAATAAATCTAATCAAAATCATTTTCACAGTATTTATGTGTTATATTTGAAAAATAACGGATTCGTTTGATATTATATTGAGTTAAAAGGTCTTAATTTATAAAATAACGTAACTTAATGGTAGTAAAGTTCCTGTTTTGACTAGGAATAATTGCTTAGACAAGAGTGACAAAGTTCATTATGACTTTACATAAAACAATACCATTTATTCAATTAGAATTATAGAGATCATTATTTTTTACACATAGAAATCATGAATTAATAATTGTTAGACTGACTGTTTGAAACCTGGAAACACTGGACGTCCGTTTCGGCCTAGTATTTGGGACTCATCATCATCGTCAGTAGGAATTCAGAAGATTAGAATTTGAGAGAAAACACAAAGAATGAATGCACCTGCGCCATGGCAAACGATTTTGAGTCATGATGTTCAAGGTTTCTAACGATCGATTCCTATCTCATCTCTCGGACTCCAACCAGATAGTCTACATCTACCAACATGATTCATAAAAATCCAAAACGATACTGATCGATAATTAAAGAATATTAGCAGCGCTCATCCACGACCCACACACTCAGAAATTGAATCCAGGGCTTTCGGTCTTGTGCTTGTGAAAGCTTAAACCCTAGAAAACTGGTCTAAACCATTGATAGATTCATGATTTCAATGAAACTTGCACGATCATATCATGGATGCACTCGAGCCATTGCTAACAATGATTTTGAATCCTGTCATTCAAAATCCCTAGGCTTTGGTTACGATATTCATATGAACCCAAATCAAGTAGTTTTCAATTATCAATATGGCTTAGTTCAATTGACAATGGCTTCATGTAACTAATGTCACGTTTCGTTTAGGCCGCTCCTAAGACACTACGGCAATCTAGTGTTTCCAATTATAGTCTAAACCATTGATAGATTCATGATTTTCAATGAAACTTTAACAACCTTACACAATCTAACCCTGAGATAATACAATTCTTAATTATACTAGGGTCATCCATCCATCCATCTTTAATAAAGGTGACATGTTTGCTTTTTTTTTTTCGCTGAACTTCATAATTAAGCAAATGAGAAGAAACATTACAAATAGTAAGCCTTAATCATGAAAATTACAAAATATTAACATGATTGTACAGGAACATATTAAGTTGCGAATGTACAATTTGATTGTAACTCTTAAAAAAACGTGTCATCAATGCTACGTTGTTAGATAATAACACTATTGAAGATGAATATATATCTTATTAAGTTCAACATAATTTTGTATTGAAAATCGATAACAGATCATGAAACTGGTCATTGGTTTCAGCTGCATATAGTTATTGATCTTTTTCTGCTCATGAACTTTAGGGAAAATAATCAGTTCAATGAAAATTTTTTTTAAATGATTTTTTCTCAAAGTCTACTACAATGATGCAAATATGCTGACTAGTTAGTTACCTTACTTACTTACGCCTGTTACCCCCAATGCAGCATAGGCC